ATCTCTTGTCATATTTAAATAAATTATTTAAATACACGCGTTTAGCCTGCCTTAAAGTTTTTGTTAATTGATTTGTAAATTTCTTAAATGCAACCAAGATGTTACCATCTTTAATGTGCACGAATCTGTGGTAGAGATGATTTTTTTTATTTATTTATCATTTTTTTTATTTCGGGTGTAACCCAGGGTTTACGAGACTTTTGAGGAATTCTATGCAATTCATAAGGAAAGCAGCGATCATATATCATTTTAAACCTTTGAAGAAAACAATTCAATACTTCGTCAGCAGACACGCTAAACAGTACCGCACTCCAGACCTCGGAACTTATCTGTTGTTCAAAAAGATCAAGGTTTCTAGCGCTTATATTTCTAAAATAAATCTGATCATCACGTATTTTTTTGGAGCTGTAGTCTACATTTGCAAGCATATATATTGGAAGGTGGTCTCTAATAGTTTCCCCAACCAATTATGTCCGTTTCTGAAATGTTTGTTAAAAATAAATCCAACAACGCCGCATTTCGGGGTGTAATGCGAGTAGGCTGGGAAATAACATTGAAGAGTCCGTATGACTGATATAAAGTCAACAATTCAATGTTATACGAGGAGGACGCAAGCATGTCTGTTAAAATCACCTCCAAAACAGACAGTCAATTTGTTTTCACCAAGAAACTTAAAATACACGTCAAAAACTGAAGAAAGAAGAAGATATTACCACTCGGCGGACGATAGACATCTTAAAAAAGTTTTCGCATGTGTTAAAGTTAGTATTTCATAATCGCTTGCAATAGCTGTAAAGTCACTTATAAGTGTGCACTCGACCTCTTTTTACATGTATACATACTCCTCCTCCTACTTTATTGGTTCTGTTTGCACTAAATACTTTGTAATTCTCAAGCCTGTCTACTTCGGTATTTTTATACCATGTTTCACTGAGCATAATACCATCAAAAAGAAAATTAAAACCGTCCAAAAATATGTTTAAGTTGTCAAATTTATTCCGTATGGATTGCACATTTAGGTGAAAGAAAGTGGCACCTTTGGTTGGTTCTTGAAAACAATTCCGATTTCACTTCTAACCGAAAAGGTCTTGTCATTCATAGCACAAAAAAAAAACGAAAAAAAACGACCAGCACTGAAAAATTACACAAGTTTTTGCAAGTCATCCACAGTTTTCACTACATTTGCTTGTGCCCCATCCTTTTTCCTTACCAGTACTTTTCTATGTTTGTACCAGACGTATTGGTACCGCCTTGCCTTTGCTCATTCTCGCGTTTACCAAAGAAGTGTTTTATCCTAGTTTGTCAAGTTTTCTAATATGTATGTTTTGCTACGAACTCGATTTAAGTTTACTGGTTTCTCGAGCCACAGATCCCGAGTTGCTTGATTTGAAAGGCGAACCAAAATTGCGGGTATCTTATCAGGGCGCGAGGGAACCCGATGCATCGCCATGATTTGATCTGCTTTTAAGTCAGGCACTTTTAGTTGCTTTGCTAGGTCATTCATCTTAGCCAAAAGGTTTTCCTGTTCGCTCATGGGGATCCCGTGTATTTCAAGGTTTTGTCTGCGGCTCCTCCATTCAAGGTCGTGAACTTTTTGTTTTGACCTTTCCATTTCCGCTGTTGGTTTCGTTTGTTCGAAGTGCGTCACCCTTTTCCTTAAGTTTTTTTATTTCCCCGGCGTGTTCATCCATTTGCTTCAGCACTGCATCATGTTTCGCCGACATGTCTTAAAGTGATTGTTCCATGGCACCCACTGTTTGTTCTAAGTTTAATAGGGTGTCTAGTTTAGCGTTCATGCTGACCAGCATAGCAGCTACATCCATAGGCGTAGACTTCGGGGGGGCAACGGGGCCCTTACCGAGACGCTGTTTACGTGCCATGTAAGGAGCTTCTAGTAGGTGGCATGTAACCAAAACAACGGCCACGTTGCCTTTATTGACAAAATGCATGGGAAATGGAATCCGAGCGTGCTTTCGTTAGCTCCAATCTCCAGTTCTGGCGAAAAGGTAACGCGCAGAACCACCCCCCCCCCCCCAAACTTCTCAGCCTGCCCCCCCCCCCCCCCCTTCCCGGGAAAATGGAAAGTCTACGCCGCTGGCTAAATCTAGATCTTTATCTTTGTTTTGTTTGCTGCTCTGACTGCCTCGAGATTTGGCTATTTTACATGTCTGGCAGCGCCAGGTCTTACGTGAAGCAACACGCGACTCTTCCGGGCCGCCAGAACAAGTGCCTATATGGTAAGATTACTGGCACTCTACGCATGTGATTTGCGAGCCTTTTTTCCGGGACGGCTTGACTGCAATGTAGACAGGTATCTTTCGAGTCATCTGCCATGTTGGATCATCTGTCAAGTAGCGCAACACAGCAACAAGTAACAGCAAGAATTACAGCAGGTACAGCAGCAGCAGCAGCAGCAGCTGGTAAAGATAAATATCAGTTTGTACAAAGCAAAATTGTACCAACCTGCAATGGCGAAACAACGTTGCTTAGGTTCCAGAGTAACCCGCTGCCACAGCCGCTGTGTCACTCAGGGCCGAGAAACGCTGTCTTTATACTGCTGATGCAGCCGAGGTCAATGGCATCGGACCAATTACCGCTCAAACAGGTGGGCGTACACCGATGCAGGCAGCTGATTCCCTCGCCGTGATAATGCTTCGCCACAACCGACGCCGTGCAACGGAAATCCAGCACCGGAGATGACTCAGACTGATGCTGTCGCAACGGTGAGGGTTGAAGAACAGCACTGCCGCAAACTGCAATGGCGAGGTGCACAGGGACCAGACGAACTTGTGCGCCGTATAGCACGCGGTTTTCTCGGTCGACTTCGCACGCAATTCCGCATATGCGGCTCGGAAATGACAACGAGTGGGGCTGCAAACTTGATATTTTTTTGAATAATTACTGAAAACAAGGTATATTTAAGAGCTCTTTCACGCCTGTAGGTTTGATAACGCAGCGCACAACTTTCGAGAGGAAGGATTGTTGCGTTCAAATGTATGATGCTTTCGAGAGCAATTGAAAAACGTTATTCCACAAAACATACAGGCTACCATTATTGCTTCCTCCCCCATTATATCGCCTTCCCCCCCCCCCCCCCCCCCCTATTATATTGTACAATCATGAATGCACAAATAGACTTACCCTGTCTTATAAGAGAAAGAAAGTTGTTGGTCTATGATCTCCATGATTGTTGATATTATTCATGTTAAAGAAATGATAAAGATATGCGTGATACATATTTTCTTCTTTTGTTCTTAATTTCTTAAGAAATCATAGATTGTTCTGTTTCTTAGGATTGAAAAATAAATTGTCATTAAATATTAGCAGGGTCCTCGAGGTATTTACGAAATCAATGAAACGTACGTATTGGAAGCAATGAGCAGCACGGTGTTGTTTCAACCCAGAAGACTGGCGCCACCGCACAAAAACATGTCCCTCACAGGGGCCCTAAACTCGTCAAACACAGAGTTGGAGCCGAAAGTTCGCAGAGCGCACCGATTGGATGTTGGCGACAAAAGCGCCAAGTCATCGTCGTGACAGTCCAATAGGTGCGCTCCGTCAACTTTTGCCCCAACTTTGTGTTTGACGAGTTTAGGGCCCCTGGACAGAGCTAAGTTCCTGCCCGACACGACAATCTGGTAGCTTGATCTTCTCCCGCTGAGCTAGATGTTTAGCGTGTTCGTGGCAGAGCGCATTGGACGCTCCCATTCGTGCCACCGGTACACTCGTGAAGGATTGGTTAGTGGTAACGCACGTTTAGTTGGTCCATGGACAGCCCGCCGTGCCGCGACGGCCCGCCGAGGGGCACGCTACAGTTACTCTAAAGCACAGCTTTTCTTTTTTTCGTTTTCAAAATGTCAATTCGGCACACTTTGTGTTACCCCTCAACGTGGTGGCTGGAGGAACTGCGTGAATTTGACAAGATGGGCGGCGGTGATTTGGAAACTTTCCGCCATGAATATTGGTACGGTGTGGTATGGGCAGTATTTCGCGCGCGCTAGTGTCCATTCAGGGCGTTTACTACCCATTTTATTTAAATTAGTGGTGATAACATGATTATCTCACCGTGCTTTAGAAAGTAAGACAAGCGATGTTGTTATCTTCTTACTTTTTCTAGCCGCAAAACCAGGATGGAAGAAAAGGTATTTCCATCCTGTTTTAATCGAGCAATGCAGAGTTTGTTGATTGAAATCAAACTTATTGGGCTTATAGGACTTTTTTTTTAAAGTTAAGCTAGTCTAATTCAATTTAAAACAGACTATTTTGATTTAAATCACTTTAACTAAAAGTAATGATTATTTACCTCTGAATGTATTTCTCATCATAGCAGTTTTTTTTTCAGTCGGTTTGGTTATTGATGACAATGCGGAAGAGAGAAATACTTCGAATATTGAGTATAGTTTAATCAATTTTTTATTACTCCAATCCCTGGCATACCAGAAAGAAAAAAAAAACTGGATTATTAAAAATTAGTTAAAAAAATTAATTTGCTTTTTCATTTTACGTTCTGACTTGACTGCAATAGGACGCTACTTTTCTAGTTTTTGTTTCTTTTTTTTTTTTTGCGTTTTGATTTTGTTGCAATAGGAATTATTTTGCTGACAAAGTGGAAGGCAAAAATCGAGCTGAGCGCTCTGGTTTCCTCAGAAGAGCATAGCGAACAGAACAGCGCGCAAAACGACGAAGACAGAGAAAAGGAACATGCATAACACACTAGCGCTGTGTGTTGTGCGTGTTCCTTTTCTCTCTCCTCGTCTTTTTGTGCGCTTTTACAAGAAAATTATGTCTTTGCTCGATTATTATTTGATTTAAATACAAAACCAATGCTCTTAGAAAGTACCAAATGATAGACAAACCGTAATAACATTTATTTTGAAAATCATTTTTGGCAGAAAACGTTTTGATTGAATCATCCTATTAAACATGGTCTGATGTAAATCGCGATTTAAATCACGACGAAATGAAGTCGCTAATTGGGTGTCCGTCTTTTCCAAATGCAGGTGGGTGACCGGGTGATGTGCTGGTCATTCCGCTACGGCCTCTGGACCAGCCTGGCTTGTGTGCCGGAAGCCCGCTGCCTGCGCCTGCCCGAGCAGATGAGCTACGCCGAGGGGGCGGCGTTCCCCATCAACTACGCCACCGCCTACCTGGCTATCCTCGACTTTGGAGGACTCAAAAAGGGGCAGAAGGTGCTTGTCCAGGCCGCCGCAGGTCTGTAATTGCCTGTACTGGCCTGGGATAGCTTACGATGGTCTGTGGTGGTCTTTGATGATCTGCGGTGGCCCGTGATGATTTGTAGCGGCCTGATCCAGTTTTGATGATCTGAGCTGGCTGGCAGGTGCAGGCATGTGGCTCTTTGTGCTAGCGTATGCTTACTTGTGATGACCTGTAATGGTATGTGGTGATATGTGGTGGTCTGTATTGATCAAGGCTGGTCTGTGTTGACGTGGGCTGGAATGTGATAGCATGTGCTGGCCTATGCTAGCCTGTGGCGGTTTGTGATGATCTGTGTCGGCCTGTGGTTGTCGCCGTCCCGACGACTGCAGGCGCTTGCAAGGAACCAGGCTTTATAAGCTGTATTAATATCAGCTTGTCCAGTCTTGCCCCTCTTATGTTCCTGTCCTCTTGCCAGGCACGTAGCCAGGGGGGAGGCCCATGGGGCCCGCCCGAAATCTTCCATTTTGCTGGGATCTCCTCTCCCCCCTCTCCCTCATACATCATTTTGTTATGGGCGCCCCCCCCCCCCCCCCCCCGAAACAAAATTCTGGCTACGTGCCTGCCTCTTGCGGTTGATGTTGATGACGTCACGTGACATCCTGATGATCTGTGTCGGCTTGTGGTTGTCGCCGTCCCGACGACTGCAGGCGCTTGCAAGGAACCAGGCTTTATAAGCTATATTAAAATCAGCTCGTCCAGTCTTGTCCCTCTTATGTTCCTGTCCTCTTGCCAGGCACGTAGCCAGGGGGAAGGCCCATGGGGCCCGCCCCCCCCCCCCCCCCCCCCCCGAAATCTTCCATTTTGCTGGGATCTCCTCTCCCCCCTTCTCCCTCATACATCATTTTGTTATGGGCGCCCCCCCCCCCCCCCCCCCCCGAAACAAAATCCTGGCTACGTGCCTGCCTCTTGCGGTATTGTTATACGATATTTAAAAGCTAGTGTGGCCACCCGGATGCCAACTGCTCTGTTAAAACGCCAGTCTGACAACCGTGGCACTCCTTGGCAAGGCCTTAATTGGCTTGGCTATCAGACAACCTACACTCTTCAGAAGCATGATGGTGGCGCCCAGAAGCCATACCCGTAAACATCTATAGATGCCACGTGATCTACCAGACTTACATTGGATCAGGCAGCCTTGTCATAACGTTAAATATTGATTGAATGTTGTTTGACGTCACTGTTACGTCGGGGTGTCACGTGACACTAGTCACGTCACTGACACCGTGATTTAACGATGCCACGTAGCACGTTGATGACGTCGCGTGACATCCTGCACGCTGACATAGCGTGACCACGTCCCCTAAATTTAGCGAGGAAACCAGTGTGCGTATTACGACTTAAAGGGCATCTCCAGCCCAAAAATAGTAATCGTAGCTCTTCACGCCTCGCATATTTTACGTATCTTCAGTTATGCTGCCAACTAATCAAACCAAGATAACTAAGGTTGCATCAGGAAATAATTCGGGAAGCTGAGAGTTTGATGCGCACTTTGATGTTTCAACACTCAAAGATACCCGTGACGTAACAAGATGCTACAGATCTGATCGCGACGTCACGCCTTTTGCGTTTTTTTTTAGAAGCCCCGTCCCACCAGCAGGCGGGATGGCTGGAGAGGAAACAATGTATAGGTGGCGAGGAGGGCGAAGGAAGGAGCGCCCCTAGGAGACAACATCCCAATCCTGTTAGGTCACTGCTCGTTTATCGAGTGAATGCAATGCGGGAATCTCCAAAGGCGTTTTATAGGCTCAATTCTTCGAATTGCGAGATGAAATTTCGTGGACAGCTCCACGAGGAGGTGCTGGTACCTGCCATAAGAATTTTATATGAAACTAATATTCTAGCCTGGAGAGGCCATTTAATGCGTTGCATGAGTGCGTTTGTTTGCATGAAAACCACGCGAATTATCGGTGTTAATGAAAAATAACGCTACCATTTAAAGAATCTCGGTGGGCCCAGAGATGCGGGTTGCCTGTCACTTGACAGATATAGGAGAAGGAAATTATCTTTGTGTCCCTCTAGACTTAACTTTACTATCGAAATACTTTGATAGTTCGCGCTACTCTCGATTCATTGTATGAACATTTCTTGTCTACCGGTATATCTTCCCGCGCTTGCGCAACGGTCAGCCCTTGTTTGGCTGCCACGTGTCGAGCTTTGGTCAGCGAGCCTCCGGGATAACCTCATTGCGAGGATTGTCTGCTCCCATAGCAGCGCGACGAGAGGTCTTGTCGGCGTATACTCTCGTCTACTTCGTCTCCCGCAGGAGGTGTCGGCTGGGCAGCGACGCAGCTCTGCCACACGGTGGAGGACGTCACCGTATTTGGCACGTCCTCGGCTTCCAAGTTCACGCTCACGCGGCGCAACGGGGTGAATCATCCAATCAACTACCGCGAAGAGGACTTTGTGCAAAAGGTGCTCCAGATAGAACCCAAAGGCACGTCAAACTATTTGAGCTCCTACGTGCAATATAGTTTTTTTTTTCTTCAAAAATGCTCGCCATAGAGTAGTTGCTGCGCCAATGATCTCAGTTCGCAATAATTTGTGCACGCACTTGGAGCATCTATCGAACACAATGGTTTAGCTTCAACATTCGCGTGAAATCGACTCGCTATTTTATATATATATATATAAAAAAATAGAACAGTTCTGCGTCAGCATTCGGCGTGCACTCAAATTCAATCATACACGTCTTGTTCAAGAAATGGTGACTGTCAATTCTTTTTGGCCTTTACAAAAGTGCCTATTGAAGTCAAATGCTTTCGTTGCAAACTACGCGGGATAGGCAGTGAAGAGAATAAAATCGCTTTACGAATTCCTATGTTGCAAGGTTGAGCGAAAAATAAAGTTACCAGTTTCTTGTCTTGTCGTACAAATGAGCTGGGGCGGCCGCCGAAACACTGTACATTGCAGCACAGAGCTACGCAGCTGCCGGGTTTGAACGTAGCGTTAAATAACAGCATTAAAAAAAATAGGGTCGCGCAATAATATTTTTGCTCCATCGGGTGAAAGATAATTTCAGAAAACACAGAGATAAAATACGTTGGGGACTGGTAACTGTTTCCGTTTATGAAACTTCTCCAAGAAAGCACATAAGAAAAACATTTAGACAAACCTTTCGAGGATGAGAAATAGGATGAGCCGTATGGATTCAATAGCGATTGGATAAAGGCAGATATATCGTTTTCAATCATACGCGTTCGTACGTATACGTGAGACACGTCATCACACACGGGATTAGTTTACTTGGGCCAATAGAAAAACGCCCCTTTATTCTTTGAATTTTCACTCCGTTAGGTTGTTTTAACGAAGATATTGCGCAATCAATGGACAGTTAATTGTGTTAGCAAGTTATTTGGAATAACTAAAAAAAGTCCCAATTAACCTGAAACATCGTTCAATGCATTTTTTTTTAAAGAATGCCTTTACTTGTAAATGAACACTTTACACTTGACGGTACTTTATTCGTTCGGTTTTTCGTTCCGTCAAAGCTATGCCAAAAAGAGAAAAAATGCATTCAGAACAAAAACATCTATGTGGGCTATCGTTATTTATAATGATTGGAAGAAAGCAAAACAAACCTTCAAATTTAGTAGCGAGCAAATTTGTAAGAAAGTGCGTAATCACGTAATGTTTGGTCGCCACAATCGAAAGCAAGAAAATATAAACAAATTTACTCCTATCACAAGTTAAAAGGGTTTATTTTAGAATTTATTAATGCGAAAGCATCACCTGGTCCCGTAGAGCGAGCCGACGTCATCAGCTTTGAAACGGCGCCAAACGGCACCTAAACTCCTTTCTCTCAATGGAGCGGAGTGAAGCCGCGATCTGATCGCTCCCAGCTTTGAAGCTGCACGAAGAGCCTAGCCAAACTGCACCCAGTTGCCCCTCTTCCAATGAAGCGCAGTGAGGCCGAAATCTCATGAATAGGTCCCATTGGCTGGCGCGCGTCATAGTTCAAGGAACGAGCCTCCCATTGGCTGCCGCGAGTCAGTTTCAAGGACCGCCACCCCATGGAGCTGCGGGCCCGCGCCGCCAGCGCGCCGGTAAAAAGGAGTTGCTGGCCGCCGAGCGAGGCAGGGCCCGTTCGGGCACACTCCGGAGCGGTAACATGGCCGAGCTCAGCGCGGCGCGGAGAGCGTGCGCTCGGCCGTCCGCCCCAAGCTCGGCAGTCGCGTATTGTGGCCGTCCACGCCAGTAGGCAGCAGAGGAACTAAAGGAGCCGAAGAACGACATGCATGCTTTCGCATTCACAACTCATAAGTGCTTTGTCCATCGAGCCTTTTATACTCCGTTTCACTATATAACTCGGCGAACTGTAAAGGCTGTGCCGCCCCCCAACACACCCCACTCTATAACAGCGTCGGAGCAAGTCACGTGATAACACTCCATGGTCGAGGCCAGGGTGTAAGATAGACAGGTGGGGAAACGGCCCATAGAAGCCTACCGCAGCGCCGTGACCGGATTGTGTACTCGTCTGCTTGTGGGTACCCCCGACTTGCGACAGATGGCGCTGCGGCGAGAGGAAAACAATCGGAATCGGATTTGCGTAGAACTTTATGGGAGACTGCGCAAAATAAACCGAGAGCACGACAGTCTTTCATTAAAAATCCACGAGAAACCATCTCCATCAGTTTAGCCGGTCGCCCACCCGGAGCGAGAGTTCGCAATGCTCCACATAGATGGCGCCACAGAAAAAGAGAAAACCGAGGGGGACACAATGCGGTCACTCATTTGGCTCTCGTTTCCCCACCTGTCTATCTTACACCCTGGTCGAGGCTATGAATGCCTCGTTACCGCCACAGCATCAGCGCCGTCCGCAAGAAAATGTAGTTCTAGGTTTGTTTTTCTTTTAACAATAATTGAACTCAAGCGGTTCTCTATCTTTTGAAAATATATATAAAAAATGGACGAAGGAGTATCGACGAGTTTATGAGTTTCAGTTTTATTTAAACCAGAAAATGAATGCCACATCCGTATTCGGTCCCCATTTTTTTTCTTCTTTTCTCCTTGTAGCGGCGTGACCGTTGGCGATGAAAATATTTTGCTCTGCATTCTACCGCAAGAAATATGGGCAGCATTGGGATGCAGAGGTGCAGTATGTGGCTTCAGAAAGGGTCCTTGCTCTGGCATCGATGTAAAGAAAGTATGCTTTTAAACTGCCACATAAAGTGCTCATCAAACCTATACAAAACACAAACATTGTGACGTTTTTTTTTTGCCTCTGGTGCCCACACGGTGTCGTATGGTCATTTTGGAATCTCGAAAACATTGGAATTTTAAACGCGGTTTGTAAAATTCAGACGCAATATTTTGCCACAAAAATTAGCAAATCATATATTTTGGCTTCAATGAATTAAAAAAAAAATTAGGATGGGGTCGATTCATTTTCTTTTCACGACCCCTTTAGATCGTCTTCGTTTGGCCTCCACAATCACGAATACCGATTTTTTTTTTTTTAATTTTGGTGCACGCTGGCTGCAGAAAATAAATGTCAAAGTACCGCTCCTTCCCGAAGCCTTACGTCATAAAAGCTGTTTTCCGAATCTCCGCTCTCGCACATCTTTAGCGCCTATCAAAACTATGTACGCGCACACTTGCTATTTCCAAAAAGCTCCGAAAAAGACGTCACGACTGGTGACAGTGCGGGGGAATATACCTGGCAAGCTTGCAATTGCATCTGCTACCCACAGGAGCGACACGTGCTTGGCGGCCGAAATATCCCTTTATAACTTGACGACTGGTCGGAGATTTTACGTGTTCTGTCGCGTTTCATTCCTTCTTCGGAGAAAACGAACGTGATATGCAAATTCATGGTATAAAAATACACTAAAACTCACCTCTAACTCGGTGTTCTTTTTTTTTTTCAAATACCTCTTTTATGTTTTTTTTTTTTTTTAAGACATGACAAGAACTGTATCCACCCAAAATAAATTCACAAACGTGAGACACGTGCCAACGTCAGTCTTCAGAAAACTATCGCAGACACGTCTCTTGAATAACCTGTCCGTGTTAAAGGGTTATAGAACCCTTTCGAAATACTGCCCTCCGTTCGGAGCTGTAAAATCCCTGCACAATGGAGGACTAAAACCTCAATAGAACGGCATACTAGAAAAAACACACTTACAAAAAAAAAAGGTGATAAGCGCAGTGACGTTGCACTTTTGACGCGGTTTGATTGGCTCGTCGGCTCGTAGTGTTGGCCGCGCTCCGACGTTCGCTATGTTATGGACTGACTTGCACGGTCCCAGATGCAGTTCTACCGCGATTGTGCAGTGGTTCTGACCTCCTAATAATCGCACGTTACTTTTTAAAGGGGTCTATTGGTTGGACGCGCGGAGCTTAAAGTCACGTGTCACTCGCGGAGCACTGGACTGGCTAATGTGGCTCGTAGCGTGTCTTGCTTTACATCCTAGGTCGAAACCGAAGATTTCTCTCTTTCAAAATCAAAAGTTTGCCTCCTTTTTCTTCTTAACCTTTTTTTTTTTTTTGGGGGGGGGGGGGGGGGGGGGACTTTGCAAACCTTTCTATGCACAAGAATGGGCCTCGCTCAAGTGCAGGAGTGCACAATACGATTTCACGGTGCTCCGGGAATCGAATCGATGCGATGCGAGCACGTTTTCTAGCTTTGGTAAGATAACTTGCTAATGCTCTTCTGTGGGAATAATTTCTTCGGAAAAAAACTTATTAAGTAGCATACGTTTTCTTTTTGTTGTGTTTCATTTTGATTTTGCTAGGTACGCTCTTCGAAGGTGTTTGGTGCGCACATCTACAGTGAAGATGAAAATGGCTCGTAGGTATATCCTGGTTTTCTTTACAGGCGTCGACATTGTGCTGGACAGTCTCTCTGGGGCAGACTTCACCCGCTCGAGGCAGCTGCTGAAACCAATGGGACGCCTGATTCACATCGGTGAGGCCCCCCGAGGTGCTCACAGATGGGTGCTCACAGATTGTGCAAGAGCAAATAACGGTCAACCATAACCTCCTCTATACTTACAAAACCTGGCAGTTCGACGACGGAGCCATGGAGAGCCCGTTCGCAGATTTGGAGCGCGAGGATCCGGTAGCACAGAGCATCAAAGAGACATTTCTCGGGCAACATGGTCTTCAGCGCACAACCTTTGCAGCGGCGAGGACCCGAAAAACACTTGTTCTCTCGGGAGAAGTGTGTTTTGCAGTCGCACCGCAGCGGGGCGCCAGTCACGTGGCTCTCCTCTCATCTGTTGTCTGCCACTCCACCTTTCCCATCTCGGCGGCCGCTTCTCGTGGCGATCTGCCAGGCTTTGTCAGTATGTTGGAGGCTATGAGCCAACCCCTCCTCCCCCCCCCCCCCCCTAAAAAAAAAGAAGAAAGAAAGAGCATTAAAGTTTAAAATTAAAAGTTAATATAGTAAAATCTCTTTAACTCACATCTCTTTCCAGGTTTGTGCATAAATATTAAGCTTTCCTTACTTTTAGTGGATCTTGGTTGACATATGATATCTGGTTTAGGAACTCTTAAGCAACAGTTTCATTGCTCATAGATCATAGATAAGACGCAGTGTTCGCTCCAGACACGACGACATAATTATCTGCGGACACATTGGAAGCACACATATGTGTGCTTCCAATGTGTCTGCAAACTGTCCTTTTGTACGATGTGTCAGCAGTCGGACCGCGGCTGTAGACCAGAGCGGAGACTTGCTTCGATTGCGGGGCGGCGGGTCTCGTCCGAAACCGCGACCGGTCGCGCACGTTGCACGAGTACCCGATGGAGTTGTCCAGGATCGTCCTTTGAAGTTCGCCGGTCGCCACGGCGAAGGGTAACGACGTCTGCATGTACTGTCACTTTCTCCGCTTTGCGCCCGCCTCATGCTCCCGCAGCTAGTCGGAGGGCCGCAGAGTAGACGGAAGGACGCAGAGTAGCCGAAGCTCGCCATTCCCACTTCTTGGGCGGACAGAGAATTTTGCGCGGCCAGGCAGTGTCTAGGAGAGAGAACTGAGCAAGCGCCGCCCTTTTCTAGACGCGCGGAGAACGTTCCAGAACCCTGCAATGAGTGCGGCAAAGATTAGAGAGGGGGGGTGGGGGGGGCGGGGAGGGGAGGGGGAGAGAGTTCGGAGCTGTCACTTTCTCTCCCAGGACAACGTGGGTTTTGCGTGTATAGTAACACCGGATTTCGCCGGAAAGTGGCACTAACCAAAACCGATGTAAAGCAAAAGAAATTAAAAAAAATGGTGATTTGCTTGCAGCATGCCAGCTTAAGAAGAGAGAGAACAGAGCAAACGGAGGAGGGCGTCCATAGTCCCATAACGTCGACGAGGCAGAAGTTATGGTGCCTCCTTTAGAGAATACAGCCAATCGGTCTATCAGTTTATGGAGACATGCAACCAGGCATTTGTCAGGTGCGAGCTCAGCGAACGCGCTCTGCGAGGGCAGTTGGGAAGCCTTCACTATTTGTCTGCTGCACAATAGGTGTGGTAGTCATTCTGTAGATAGCTGGCACGTATATAACAAGACTGGAGGGTTACTTTTTTACGTTACTCACCAGAGGTCATCGTGGGGCTGGTCACAAATTCTTCATCCGCGTACGCCTGTGACGCGTGTCTCATCAATGAGGACACTATTGAGTCCCAGTCGAACGCTGATTAAGCACTCATCTCCTAACCTGTCCACCGCGCCTCGTTATCCAGGCGGTGCTGGGAGGGAATGTCGTTCAAAAGGGCCGTGGCTTTGGCAGGCATCAGCAACATGGTTGTGGGAGAGCGCTTCAGCGTGTGGAACTCCCTGAGGACCTGGTGGCAGACTAGGCTTGTGAACGTCTACGATCTTAACACGGACTGTCACGCCGTGTGCGGTTTCAACTTGGCCCTGTTGGCGGATGTGGACCCGGACCGGGTGCTGCAGGTGCTTCAACACCTGCTCGAGTTGTACGGGCAAGGGAAAGTGAAGCCTCGCATCGATTCCCAGTGGAGCTTTGGAGAGGTAACTCGAGCCAGCCCGGCGTTTTTGTCGTCTCTACCGGCCGAGTTCTCAGACTGGAAATTGAGCGTGAGCTCGTAAGCTTCTGTGGGGCATTTTAAAACCCACTAAGTCAAGATGCTTACCACGAACATACCCTGGTGGTTCACATGAAATTGGCTCTTGAAAAATTCTGAATTAAGCAGTTGGCCGCCAGTTTTTACGTCTTCATTCAGGGTTAGAGACAAGAAACAACTCGTGTTCTGAGTAACTGCAGGGTCTGTCAGCACTGATCATTATTTTGTTAACAAAAAATAGATGAGAAAGCAAACATTGTATAAATGAGCCGGCTTCCCAACTGGACCCACAATTGGCCCCCGTAACATGCATCTTTTGCTACTGTTGCAAACATGCCGACCACATCAAGCAGTAGCATGGCTCAAAAGAAGTCACAAAAGGCAGGTTTTTTTTTAAAAGCATGAAATATGTGCCTACTGTCTCGCACTCAGCTGTCGGAAGTCTGTCTCGTGGCAACTCACGTCTCGCCTTTCTACTGAATACTGAATGACTTAGGTACCAGCAAATGAAGTATGTACCACCATGCATGAATCAAAGCTACCTGGAGGTTCCCCAGCGCAAGAAAGATACTAACTATACGCCTCGTTAATACAAATTCTGTTCGCAGCTCAGTGGGTGGGTGCATTCTCTTACAGGTGGCTCGGGCAATGGAGCACATGATTACCAGGAAGAACGTTGGCAAGATAATCCTGATCCCAGGGGGTGCCAGGGGAAAGGCAGAGGAAACAACAAGCTAAAGAGGTCAGAACCACTTTTATTATAAAATTACAAGGGGCACATCAGGCAACAACTGCAATGCCAATCAACGTGCTTCTCTGCAATTCAACTGATGGACAGTGAAGTAGCATGAGAGCTTGGTGTGGAACAATGTACGATACTGTGACTCAACAGCAAGCCCCTTTATGCTGGATAATTCTCGGAAGACGCGAAGTACACAGGAAGCTTTTTGTCAGTTCATAATTAAAAAAAATCACTAAAAAACAAAAACGTAACTTGTGGTAGGGATTTTCTAGCCCTGGTGTCAAGTTTGTGGTCGTGGAGGCCACCAGAAATAAATCGAAATCGGTTATTAGTTAGCTAATTAAATAAAATGTTTCGATTAACCTCTTAGCCGTGAAATTACTTGTGAACCTTTTATGAAGAAAATTTTAGTAAGCTCAACGGGGGCGAGCAATTTCACACTCGTACACGACTTGAAACCGAAACTAAGCGACCGAAGAGCGGCGCTATCACAACCGCGGCTTTGTTTGCGTAGTCTGTGGAGGTGCTTTTGCCCGGTAAATTTCGGTTTGATGCCGTGAGAAAGTGTGTAGTACTCACTTTTTTCTTGTAAACATGGTCTTGCAGGGCCGGGAAGTTGAGGATAACATTGCGGTAGGCGCCAAACACTTCAAGGCAGCGAGCCCCGACCTGCACTTGCCGCGCTGGAACCCCTCTTAATGGACTGTGAAGGGACGTTGGCGCATGAGACATGTCATCAAGATACTACTGGGAAGTTGGTTTAGCTACTTGAAGCACAGCTGGAAATACTTCCCTGGTATTCTCGTGCCTTAATGGAGACAACCGATGTTTACATATAGCTCCACACTAATGGTGTTTGAAGAGCTATGGGCAATATTTGAATCTTTGCGGCATCCTCCAGTGTCCAGGTCCCATATGTGTTACGTGTCTCTTATTTTGGACGCAGCGAGAACTCTGCTAAAATAATTTTTTGAAGTGGAACAATATCGCATGAGATTCATAGTATCGATTTTGAAGAATTCACTCCTTCTAATGTGGTGCCTCACAAACTTCTCTGGTGTTGGTAGATTAGTTATAAATTCATAGATTGATTGTTGCCATTTGTAGGAAATTTCAAACTCGGTCTTGTGTGGCCCCAGGACCACGAACGTCTAGACAAGCATGATATAAATAAATCTTTAATTCATTTTTCAGTTGCTCTATGCTTTCACTCTACGCCAGCCTGCTCTTCAAAATTTTCATGTTGCCATTGAGGGCACTTTGAAATATGATTCTGTTCGTACCGCAGCTCCCTCATTAATAGTACACGAAAAAAAAAGTTGAATGCCAAGTCTCAAGAATAAAACTATTGTGCTAAAAGCACTCCTGCAGTCATTTACTGCTTGTGCATGAACGTGGGTAGTAGTTTATCTTCTCCGAAGAACTAAATTGAGAAGTTTTGGCACTGCAGCTCTTCAGGGTTATCTGCAATAAGAAAACGAAGGTCTCTTGTCATTAGCATTAAAACAAACAAACAGCAACAAGCACAACCACTATCAGGTTCCTTCTAGAAGCTGAAAAATAATTAGTTTCAGCTTTGAGCACATCGCGGAATCATTGCAAGACTATCCGATGCTCATTCCACCGGCTGAAGCAAATAGCTAGATCAAAAACACTGCTTTGTAACGAAGGTGTTCGAAATGTGGCGCATTTGTTTTGTAAAATTTGGAAGCAATGTGCCCTTATTCAGAAAAGAAGATAAAATTTAGCTTTGACATTGGCCAAAGCACTATTTGATTGTAAAAATGAAGGAACGGGAGGAATCTCGGAATTATTCCCTTCCCACTGCCGTAAAATCAAACGTACAAATGACTCCCAGTTATGTTTTCTTTTTTTATCTCTACGCTCCTAACTTTACGTTATCAGAGTTTGCACTCTCAGCTTCGACTGATATTTAAACAAAAATATAGCTTTTATTCGGTAGCTTTTCAATGCTTTATTTCAGATTAATTTTTACTGATTGCTTTTAACCGATGTCTTCTTTGTAGGCATTTTCATGAAACAGATGCACTTGATGTAGCCGCCTCACAGTCGTGACTCGTAAGTTAGTTTCGCATCTTGCAGCGCTGCTCTTAGCCAGAGTGTCGAACCGAAATTATTTTGATTCTCTTCAGGTTCGGGTTCACGGCTTTCCCTTCAGTTTTGGTTCAGTTCAGGGGAGTCAAAATAGCGGTTCCGCGGTGTTTTGGCAATATGCACTATTTCAACCGTGAAACAAGGAACTATATAGCTTTTTTTATCATTCATACAACCCACTTCACTTTTCACGTTCAAAAAAGAGGAAATTGCAGTATTTCATTCTGACGACTCAATAAACGAAAAACTATATAACATACAAAATGTCGGTTTATTCGGCTGAACATCTACTTTTAGGCGCCCGTTTCCGGCTTGAGCGGCGTCGCCGTCGGCATCGGCGTATCCGCACGGTGCATTATGGGACACTTCCCATGACGCACCGCGCGGGGAGGAGGAGGAAGTGGAGGAAGAAGAGAAGGGTAGGGGGAGAAGGCGGAGCGGATGGGGAGGTAGGGAAGGAGGAGAGGAGAAAGGGGGAGGCGGAGGAGAGGAGGGGAGGAGTTTGAAGCATGAGGGGAGGAGGAGGTGAATGAGGAGGACGGGGGAGAAGGAAGTGGAGGGAGCGGGTAAGGAGGAGTAGCAGGGAGGATGAGGAGGAGGTGTATAGCCTCCCCTCAGTACACTTCCCTCCTCCTCCTCAAGAGCTGCGCTCTAATTCGGCGTTACAGGGTGTTGTATACGTCTTTCATATTTTGTTTACCTCGGTCGCATATATTTTACTTGAATCGACAGGTTATCTGTCTAATAAATCGCCTAAAATACTTTGCATCAAAGTATTACAAGTGGACGACTTGTTGTGCTCTTGAACTATGGAATTGATTACAGTACATAAAATCATAGAATGGGCAGATCCTCACCCTATACAGACATCTTGTTTACGAAATACGTTTCACAATATAAGGGTAGTCCACGTAACTTGAGCCAAGGTTTCAAAATATTTTGGTTAGGAAGACAAAACTAAACGAATACGTTTGTTCATTGTTTAGAGCAAATCATGTTATTTCTGTATTTGTCCAATTAAATAATTAATAGATTAATTAACAAACTTTTGAAATATTAAATTTACAGAAAAAGTTTCAATGAAAACGTTTTAGAGTGTCCTCACAAACATTAAATTTAGTGGGTTTTATCAAGAAACCTCTAAGGCCTCATTCACACAGCCGTTTTTTCTCCCGGCCCGGCGAAAGCGCCGGCCGTCCATTCCGCCGGGGGAGAGGGTGTTGGGATCGGTTTCCGCGGGCCGCCGGACCCGAAATGGGCCAAACGAGGATGTTCAACGTCCCCGGCACCGGCGGGAGACCGGGAACGCCGGCACCCCCACCCATCGAGGGACGGCCAATCACAAAATCGGAAACTTTCGCAGAATCTGGCGGATTCTCAAAAGTTTGTTGACCATGGGCATGGCCGCGGCAGGGGGAATTGACCGTACTGTGCCCTAACCGCCCGAACGTGGCCCTAACGACGAAGCCAACAAAGCTCGTTTCGGGAAGGAGGGAGGCCAGCGAGACGACGGGCGCATTGTGTGATGTTTACGGCTTTTGAACAACAGACATACAGAGATTTGGATTTACCGCTGAGGCTGCTGCTCAAAATGGTGAGACCACATCGGTTCCTTTGCGATAGACGTAAATGCGATTTTAAGGAAGAACAGCCGAAGAAAGAAAATACGGTCGTCGATCATCGGGGACGAAATGCGGCGTAAGGAGAGACTGATGTGAAACGTGCTCGCGGTGGTCTTGTCCCTTCTGTTTCAAAACGTGGAGACAAATAAAATGTTTTGAAACATGCAAGATCGTTATCGGCGACCCAAACGCAAGCTCCAAGGAACAAAACAGTTGTGGCTGCGCCCATCGACGCCGATAGTCCGCTACATTTGGTGGTCGACGCCGCCACAAAGCAGCCCCAAGTACGGGATTACAAGATTGGTAGTAGAGATCGAGGGAAGCGTGAAATTGCGCACGAAATAATAGGTTATACCGGCTATACAGCTTTACGGAACACAAACGTTCTACGCAGAATTTGAAAGGTGCAGAAAGATTTTTAAGCTAGGTGGCGCAAGCTACCTTCCAATATAAGGGGACACAGCCGCCAGCATCCAACTATTGCTATAGCCAGCGCCGGCAGCTCCGTCGCCGCTGGTTCGAACATTCCTTCGTCCCCGCACCGTCCCATTTTTGGCACGGCGCCCACGGCGCTTTCGCCAGGACGGGGCGAAACGCCGGCTGTGTGAATGAGGCCTAACACGGTTCGTTTTGCCGTGCTTCAAAAAAATACGAAAAAAAAAATCGAATTCGTTAACAGTGCCCAGTTAGCAGTGCTCTATTCAGTATGAAAGCCTACTTTATTCAGGCCACGGCTGAGAGCGCTGCAATACAAAGTGCTTATACGCAAAGTGAGACATTTTTTCATAATTCGCAAAATTATTTCGAAGGCCATAAAAAAAGATATTTTCTTGATAAAAACTACTCAATTGGCTGTTTCTGGGGACGCTCTACAACTTTGTGATTGGAAATTTCTCCCAAGTTGAATTTTTCATTAGATAATTAATCAATCTTTATTAGTTAGTTAACCGGGCAAAATACAAATAATGCCTGACTTGCTTCAAACTATGAACAAAATCCTTCGATTAAATTCGTCTTCCTAAAATGCACTAAAATATTTCTAAATCTTTGGCTTAAGTTACGTGGAATTCCCTGTATGAGACGACGACGCAACTGAGCTAAAAGCAACAATATTTTCAGAATTGTCACGACAGTTTGAGGACAAGCCGTTCCAGTCTACCTAATATAGGACCACTGAGCGGCAATCGCAACACATTTTTCCTGGCGAACATTGTTTACACTCAGCAACGTAACGCAGGCGAATTATCATGACAAAAAGAGTGATCGCAATTGTTCACTCTAACCTATAGGCACCTTCATATTCCGATCGAATCTGCCCTAAAATAGCGCGTCCCTAAGTGAACATTTTTGTCATGGCTTGGCGTTTCAGGTTTGTTCTTGAGAAGATGCCGGTCCATTCCATTTGCGAATAGGCATCGTCCCTGCTGATTGGGGATTATTTGTTAAATAGAACAAAGTAATTTTTATAGTCTACTCGACATTGCAGCACGGGTACTCTCCTTGTCCCATATGTAACTCCCCAAAACTACATTTCGTCGTTGTGTCCACGGTCGTCGAGCTGGCGAGACCAACCTTAACGAGCGGCCTGATAGCTGTTGGATATAACATACTAAATAGCTAATGTGCCTATCAAAGACTAAAAAAAAAATTACCGAGATTTTGCAGCCGGGCCGGAAACACCTCGATTGTCTTAATGTAGCCTCTAATGACTACATTAGCTACCCTAATAAGTTGTGTCGGTCGACAATCAAGCCATTCGTAAAAGTTGGTATCGCCAGCTCCACGTCAGTGGACAAAATGACGAAATGTAGCTTTGGGGAGTTACATATGGGACAAGGGGAGTACCCCTGTACACCCCTTATTTCTTAGAGTGTACTGAATTGGTCATGTTTTGACGGTCTGCGTGCGCAATCCTCATAGTTCATCCACGCACCCCCGTGTACCTTGTTTTTGTCCAGCCCACAGGCACATAAAATTGTTGTTCATCACATAAGAAAAAAACAAAAAATTCCGAGGACGCCTAATGGCTTCTTATGAGTTGTGAATGCGAAAGCATGAATGTCGTTCTTCCGCTCCCTCAGTTTGTCTGCGGCGTACTGGCGTTGACGACCACGTTTCGCTAATGCCAAGGTTACGGCCGACTGCCGAGTCGTGCTCTCATGAAGTGGCCGCGCCGCGCTGAGTTCGGCCGTGCAGCCACTCCGGAGTCTTCCCGTGCGGGCTCTGCTGGCTCGGCGGCCAGCCTCTCCCCCTTACCGGAGGCCGGGCCGCTGCGCCGCCATGGACTGCATGGACCGGGCTTCTCTGGTGGCGTTCCTTTGAACTACGCCGCGCGAGAGCCAATGGGAGCCTCGTTCCTTGAAACTGTGATGCTCGCCAGCCAATGGGAGCCTATCCTTCAGATCGCTGCTACGGACGACAGGCTTCGCTCCATTCGGACAGTGGAGTTTAGGTGTCGTTTGTCGCGGCTCTAAAAGCTGATAACGCCGGTTGGCTCCATGGGACCCCAGTTATTGCTTTCACATTAAAAGGCAATAGCAGACTTCTATATGTTCAGGCAGTAATTAAATATATATGTTATTATCATTAACAAATGTGACTGTATGAAGTTCACATAACCGCTTGAGACCGACACGGAAGGACGATACTCGAAAATACGAGGGCTGTTAAGTCTGCCAAAACGTGCTTTTTTTGTTCGCTGTTTGGCAAAGTGGAACACAGGGTCTTGGGGTATGCTAAAAAGAACTGTGTGCTTAGATAATAGATCTGAAGATCTGATCTAATAGATCTGAACTTGAGAACGACACTACTGTCAGACTTAGAGCGGCTGCTAACGTTCGGTTGTCCCTCTGAGGACACTATAATTTTTTTTTGTGTATCACTCTTGTCCACATTTGAAGTTATATTTATCATCGGATTAATAAGTCACATTTAGTCCTCTCAATGTTTTTAACCTCGGGGACTACAATCTGAGACAGTTCAGCAACAACATAAATATATCTGGGTGCCTAAATGATGTGTGCATGTAAAATGGGTTGTGCAACAATTTTCGAACTTCCAGTAAATGTCACTGAGAGCAAATCCCTTACGTTGAAAACTTGCCAAAACGTTAAACACCCATTAGTTTTCCTCTCCGCTCAAGGGCAGGCGCAGAACAAAAGAAGGAAAGAAACAGCTTTCCCCTCCTCAACTCTGTATTAGAACAAGTGGCTATCTGATCTGGCGCTAATTATATACCATCAGTGTTTACGATAATCATGCGCTGGGGTTAATAAATAATAAAGTACGGGCTGAGATTCAGACATTGTTATAGTTCGGCTATTCTGCTTTTTGATTGAACACGAGCCATTATCAGAATGTTTGGCGATGCTGGTTGTCATGAACAGGTGCTCTCGGCTCGGGCTCATGACAATCGAGTACGTCACGATGCCATGCGACTCGCGGCGAGAAGTCGTGATGCCGTCTAACGTCACGGTGTCAACAACGCTTATAAATCTAGTTACATTTTCAATTTAAGTCGCCTTGTCGCATTGAGTCACGTGGCTACGTCACGGGGCAACGGACGTAACATTACTTGACAACATCTCTTGACACCATGACGTCACGTAAGCACG